TATATATATATATATATATATATATATATATATATATATATATAGTGCCTTGTGAAAGTATTCGTCCCCCTTGAACTTTTCAACCTTTTTCCACATTTCAGGCTTCAAACATAAAGATATAAATTTTAATTTTTTTGTGAAGAATCATCAACAAGTGGGACACAATCGTGACGTGAAATGAAATTTATTGGATGTGTCAAACTATTTTAACAAATAAAAAACTGAAAAGTGGGGCGTGCAATATTATTCGCCCCCCTTGTGTTAATACTTTGTAGCGCCGTCTTTTGCTGCAGTTCCAGCTGAAGTCTCTTGGGGTTTGTCTCCATCAGTGTTGAACATGGAGACACTGAAGTTCTGCCCATTCTTTCTTGCAAACCAGCTCGAGCTCAGTGAGGTTGGATGGAGAGCGTTTGTGAACAGCAGTCTTCAGCTCTTTCCACAGATTCTCGATTGGATTCAGGTCTGGACTTTGACTTGGCCATTCCAACACCTGGATACGTTTATTTGTGAACCATTCCATTGTAGATTTGGCTTTATGTTTTGGATCATTGTCTTGTTGGAAGATAAATCTCCATCCTAGTCTCAGGTCTCTTGCAGACTCAAACAGGTTTTCTTCGAGAATGGTCCTGTATTTGGCCCCATCCATCTTCCCATCAGTTCTGACCGTCTTCCCTGTCCCTGCTGACGAAAAGCAAGCCCAAACCATGATGCTGCCACCACCATGTTTGACAGTGGGGATGGTGTGTTCAGGGTGATGAGCTGTGTTGCTTTTACACCAAACATATCGTTTTGCATTGTGGCCAAACAGTTTGATTTTGGTTTCATATGACCAGAGCACCTTCTTCCACATGTTTGGTGTCTCCCAGGTGCTTGTGACAAACTTTAAACAACATTTTTTATGGATATCTTTGAGAAATGGCTTTCTTCTTGCCACTCTTCCAGAAAGGCCAGATGTGTGTAGTGTACGACTGATTGTTTTCCTATGGACAGACTCTCCCACCTCAGCTGTAGATCTCTGCAGTTCATCCAGAGTGATCATGGGCCTCTTGGCTGCATCTCTGATCAGTCTTCTCCTTGTTCCAGATGAAAGTT